ATTTACATACATACACGTGTATGCCTCTAAAATGTGAACACTTTCAAGTAAATATTTGTTTGGGTGTTTCGGTGGCACATGAAGCAACTGCCACATGTAATAACGCCATAATATTCCGCCAACGGCTGCAGACAGTCAGTGCAACATCACCGAGAAAATGTCGCAACTCGAAATGCCTGGCTGGTTGGCTAAACATATGAGTGTTGTGCTCTCCAACTAAGAGTATTTCATTTCATGCCGCAGCCCGACAGTCGGTAGGTGCAAAATTGGTTGAATGCTTAGTTGGGAATAGGCGATTGCTCCATCAAATTGTCGCTCCAACCCACTATGTCTCTTGAATACCCACTATGGAATGTATGTATGTACATATGAATGTTATGAGTACATAGTGTAAACTCTTCATTGCGAATTATTGCCTTTTGACTGACGTTTATACTTTAAGCTCCAATCGGCAGTGACTTTTGGCTTTATTTTTTTTATACTTCTGAGTGAATTTTTCTTACGCGTATTCTTCATATTTATTTATACACAAAATAAACCTATAAAAATCAAAATCATTAAAGAATAATTAGGTTAGATCAGATTAATCTGGCAGCGAATCCCGATGCGCTTAACAAGGACCCGTTTGATTTTTTGTAGTGCCAGACGAAGGTGCGTTTTATTGCGATCTAAATCAGTCGTCGTATTGAGAGTCAACGCTCAAGATAGCTTTAATATCCAATTTTGAAGTCTTCTCTAGTCCTTTGAACTACGTAGCTCCCCGATATCTAAGACAAGTTCTGGCTAAAGCTGGACAGAAACAGAGGAGGTGTTCTAATACCCCACTCATGCATTCCACCCTGCGCTTCCTTCATGTGTCATTGCTATTAATGTTAGTTCTGCTTGGTTGTGCCTTCTAATTATGTCAACAACTGTCATGAAGTCCTTACGTAAATGTGTAATCAAGAAATGGATGCATTCTGCTGCTATCGTAAATGATCATGGTGGGTTTACATTTCCTTAATGCGTTTCATCTCCCACTAATCCGCCACGCAGCTCTTTTGGAAATTTTCTTTATACTTCATTTCTAGCGACTTTTATTTATATTATACTGGTTAAATAGCAAGATGGATGGCACTTTTGGGTGTCAAATTAGCTATTACGTTATAATGAAATCGTAGCCCAGTCGCTCTGTCTGCTACTTCTCTGATTCCTGAAAATACTTCGGCGGCTTGAAGAGCCCAACTACTTCAACCCAATAGACTTGGGAACCCACTCTATCAGCCATTTTTGATCTATCGATGTAGATGTTATTGTACCACAAGCATGTTGCTGCGCCATCCGCCTTACTTTAAGGTAGCTTGAAACCTTCTTTCTCAGATAAAGCGTGGGCATCTATGTGGTCTATTTGAATTGAATATTATTTTGTGCCAGAAGATGCTTAAGAATTCCTCTAAGACCACTGCGATGTCGATTGGGGATAAGTCAAGTAAAGCGGCACAAGAACGCCCTTGGAGTGGTTCTCAGCTCTCCTCTTATGCACAGTGCCGAGATTTTGTTTAGCGATCTCCCATACCACAGCATCATTGAACTATACTGGCTTAAGGTAGCCATACATGACATGCACGACATGCAAGTGTTTTCGATCGGTATGAAATCGCTTCATCATACACGACATACCAATTCTTTCTAGGTTCATTCTTTCAAGAGTACACCAGTGCGACGAATAAGTGGATAATGTGATTGCACTTTTCGCTTACATCACTATATACACGATTCTTCCGCGATCTTTACTGTTCCACGACACGAGTAAATGAGCTTTTGAGCACCATGCACCATGCACGACAAACATGTGCGCACACCGATCGCAAAAAATCGAAAATTTTCGCCAACATGGATTCGTATACGCGACACGAATAAATCTCACTCGCACATGTACCGATCGAAAACACTTGCATGTCTATAACCACGGCTGTGCAACATCAATGCCTGAGGCCTGGGAATAGGTACCTAACATCTTTCTACATGCGTAAGGGGCACCCTTGCCTTTACCTTTAGCTTCCACATAAGTTTGCTGTCCAAAAAAAACTAAAATGATTTCATTTTTATTTCTGAAAGTATTTTCAATTTCTATTTTTTCGAACATCGCTGTAGTTTTTTATTGAAAGCGTAAATAATGCACTTGACAATAATAAACTTTGCCACGCTGTGACCAAACAATATAGGGACCATAAGTGCCATGGCGGGCGGGCGGGCGGCGCGCTTGTAAGTGAGCTGCTGAAGTTCCCATATTAAGTGTGCAAAAATGCAAATATACTTTACAATTCAAAAGTCATTTTCACAATCGTTTCTCAGTCAATTAAATGTGCAGCAATAATTCATGACATATACATACGTACATACATACATTTGTACGTATTTATGTGATGTAAGCAAACAAATGTTTCGTTAAGAAATCAATGTTAATAGCCAGAAGGCCTACTTGTGTATTTGTTTGTAGAAATTTATACTTATAAAAGTTTGTATGTTTAAGAAAATTGATGTTAAACAGTGATTTTTATTGCCGCATCATAAATCGTCCTTTGTTCGATGTTGGAAAAAAAAAGAATTTTAAAAAAATTGCTAAGACTGTTTGTCTTGGAGTTTTCTGTGTATAAAAAAGTCTTTTTTTTTTTGCTACAATTTTTAAACGATATACATAAAAGGGCAGTAAATATATATAAATTCATTATGTCCGAGTATTGACCATTTGCTTTGCGCAATATAAACAGCTGTCGCTGTGCCTTTTAAAATTTATAAGTATTGTGTTTACAAAAAAAGCATTATCTCTCGATTTTTTTTTGTGTATTTTTCTCCTCATTCTGTAAAAATAAAAAATTGTGTATTTTTAATGAAATCGAACATCTGGCTTCACGCTGATCAAAATGAGATATGATCGGTTTCTATGAAGATATGTGCGTTGTATGCCTACACGTGTACACTTTTTATTATTTAACTCTACGCATTTTTTTGTTGTAGTAATATGCGTATTTAAAGCAAAAAACGTTGTGTAGAAATATTTTTGATCTCAAGTAGCGATATTGGTTTTACATTACTGAGTATATTATGAGTGCGAAGCTCGGGACTAAGTATTAATATGGGTATTTCTAAATACATATGTACATATGCACATATAAGCACAAAATGAATTCAAAATTCTACAATATTATTGTCGATTTTTGCTTCAAAGTAAATTTAAAATTATTTATCAAAAAGTTTAATATAAAATTGCTTATCAGAAAATTGATTTGAAATTTTTGCAATCGAAAATGATGATTTCATTAGCTAGCAGATTTCTTCATTTCGGCACTCCTCAATCCCCATTGCTTAAACTTTAATAACCCTAGCTAAAACATGACGTCATTAAACAATTAACGGAAGGAGGGTCTTCAAAGCAAATATCTACAATTTTAAAGTAGTTTCTCTATTTTCAAGTTCAACACTGCGTATACGTAACTTACTTGTATTTTGTAGTACTTAGTGGTGATTCATTATTAAATCTTTATTTTTATACCAATGTGATACCTACAATCTAACACGAGCAGAAGTCAAATTAAAAAAATCGTTTATATATATGTATATATTAATTAATATATATATACATGCAATTGGCGCTTTGTAACCGCTGAAGCAATTTTTCGGCCGAGCTCCTCCTCCGACTTGTGGTTTTGTGCCTTGATGTTTTTTCAACAAATGGAGGGACCTACTGGTTATACAATACTAAGCCGCCTACGAACGACTGAAGGTTTTTTTACGAGGAGCCTTTACTACATGTCCAAAATACACATGGAGGGGTGGACATTCCCTGCCGAGGGGCGACGCAATTAGAAAATTTAACTTAATTTTTTATTTAAATTAATTTTCTATACTTTTTGGATGTTGCTGGAAGCGGGATTTGAACTCAAGCCTTCTGAATGTCAGTAATTAATACTAACCACAAGGCAACCGTGGCCACCATATATGTAAAGGGTGTTTTTTTTAGAGTTATGGATTTGAGTGAGATAATATTTTCTTTGGAATTGGTCTTTTTAACAAAATAAAGATTCGATTCGAGCGTCCAATATTCCGTTACCATAATCATCGAGCAAAGTATGTAATTCGAGCAACCATGGATTGGTTGCGTGCCATGTATACCTTAGTCGATAATGCGCATTCTCTTAGACGCAGTACAGTGCGCACCGAAGGAGCTCTGTTCATTTCATTTTATGGAAGATTAGAAGGAATCTTAGTTTGCGTGCTTACAAAATGAATGAAGCTGACATGATCAATGAATTTTTCGTGCCTGAATTGAAGGAAGTTGATGTGGACGACGTTTGGTTTCCACAAGACGCTACAGCCAACGAAATAATTATTTTATTAAAGGAAACTTTTGGTGAACGCATTGTCTCCTGGACCTGTGGTGTGTACGATTTTGTGTTTATGTATTCGCTTGTATACGCAGATATACATCATGACATTGCTGACATACGGCCTCAATTGCTACAAAAAGTTGCCGGAAATTCTGTCTCTCTGCTGGCTGCTTGCCACAAATAATTTTTCAAACATAATGGCAAACCATCTTTATATATCTTATATTTATAATAAGAGTAAATTCATGGCCGTTACATTAAATTATATTCGTATTATTTCTTTTTGAAATTGCTGAAGAGATTTTCGTTCTTCGAACCGGCTGACGGATTTTTATGAAAAGCTTTTTATTACATATCTTATAGCAGTACATTCAGAGGGCTAGAGATTCCCTGCCGAGGGACAAAATTTTTTTAAATTTATTTTTTAAAACTTTGAACGTAGGTCTGCGCGGAGACCGAGCCCGTGACCCACCACATGATATTACACCACTCGCCTTCTCTCTCGATTTATTTCATCAGTGTATCCATTTTGTGTGCAGCGTAAAATAAAATATTTTAAGATCTATAATTTCACCAATTCCGTATGCCAACAATGAAGTTAACATAATTTTTCGCTCATTCTTCTCTTTCCAGCTGAGAGCGACCTCTTAACATTTGCGCAACGTAAAACGCATTTCGAATGCGACCAGTCGATACGCAAGGAGCTCTTCACCACCACCACACGTCCGCCCAGCGTGCGCGTACTTTATGAGGAGGCAGCCAGAGTTAGGCCAACACCTGCCGCACTCGCCTACCACTCACCGCATTCGCCATGCTCATTTACATCGCCCGATGGCACGACAGATGGAGCCGCCAACACGGAATGTGTTGCACTGCTGGATGCTGACGATTGCGATGAACTGGTTTGTACACCCGTCTTTGGTAAGACCAATCGTAAGATGCGCACCAGAATTGATGCTGAAATTGAAATAAGATTGGTAAGTTGGAGCAGTAGAGATTTGTTACAGAAATACTAATATATAAATATATATGTATGTATAAGGAATATGTTCATATATACATAGTTGTAAGTGAATGTGGCAACAACCTAAACGCTCTATTGCAATGTACCTCTATTCATTTTCACATGCGTTGTTACTCGCTCCCGGCCAAAAGCTGTTTTAACTATTAACGGTTTGCTACTTCCAAGAAGTTGCCACCTCTTGGAAAGACACACGCACATTGCATTCACACATATGCACATATTTGGCAGTCTGATTGGTTGTTGCAACATACAAATATTGTAACTTGGCTGATACAACGGTATTTACCAGCTCTTGCTTTACACACACATATACATACATAGAGACATAAATATATGTGTTTATGTACACATATATAAATGCCTGTCGTTGTCTTCTAAATCGCCTGTCATGTCGGTCGTACAAGCACTTTGTAATTCGTATGTTGTAATCTCTGTGGAGTTTTTGTATTCGAAATGGTCATGTTCTTAACTTGATTGAAAAGTTTGTAAGTCAATCTTAACTGCTTGAACAACGTACATTCCCATACACACGAGCACATACACATATGTAAATGCATATGTGTGTCGCTGTTCACTGTGTGCTAGCTGAATCATAGGTGAAAAACTGCCGTACGATAAAGATATTAGTTTTTCACATTACAAATAAATGTCTATCATTTATTAGAAGTAAATTCATGAGGAAGTTGAATGTGAAGTTATTTTTTCACAAAGAAGTTTATGCTTTGCCGCTGCTTATCTTTGAGCAGGAAAACAATTGTACATACATATATACAAATTCGTTTTATAAATTGGCATAATGAGTTTACAAAAAGTTACTACTTTTTCTTCGTAATCCTGACTGGCTAACCCAAACACCTGTAAGGTGGAAAGTCTGGTTGGAAATATTCTTAAATATTTAAATTGCAAACTTACAGCTACGAGCTATGTTCGCGGAATGAGGAATAAGGAGTGCAAAAAAAATTGTTTTCGATATATATTACCCCTGCAAGAGGGATAATTTTTTCAGATATTTAATTTAACTTATTAATAATAAGCCCTACGTATACCCTCCACCCGCCGAACCGACACGAGAGACGACATCCGCATAACGTACGAAATATGCCGAGCCATGATTGGGAAGCGTAGTTAAGCGTCGAGATTTAAAAGTGTTCAGCTACAGAAAACATAATTCAATATCCTCGTCCCTCAAAAAGGCATCTACGAGTATATATACAAAATATATATATATATATATAGTTATAGAAAATTAGCTTTTGAATGTTGGTCGTACCACGAATTGAACCCTGGTCTTCCAGGCTACCACGACCGAGTAAGGGCATGAAATTTGGTATTTTACATTTGTGTCTACAAATATTAACACAATGGCTCCGAAAATCATCGAAATCTGCAAACCGTATCATAATATGGCCCCCATACGAGTACAAGACGGTTGATTCAGTTATTTGGTTTTGGGTAAAAAATACACCGAAAAAGCATCTGAGAGCAAGAAGTTGTACACACAAATAGACACCAAAAATCAGAAAACTTTATCAACCAATTTTTAATATTATAATACCATAAAATCTTTTTTATAAAGACCTCGACATGGCTGAAGTCAGCTCTTCTTATTTGTTTCGAAATATAATTGAAGCTCGTTCGCTTCCGCATCGCATGCGTTAAGTGATGCTCCAAGCATGGCCGCGCCCGGTAATGCCTGTTGACTGTCCGAGTGTATGATTACTTTCTGCATATTTCTATAGTTATTCATTAAAGCTATACAGGCCTATTCTATGCCTAGTGCTGCTGCTTGAAAATGCTCATCGAAATTGGTACAAGACATACAAGTCAATTAACCTTCAGATATGATATTTCAACCAAGTTTGAGAATATTCACATATTAAAGTATGTACAATATAACAATATATTATATAATATCTCCACTGTTGAGAATGCTCCTGACATTCTTTCTTGTTGAGAAAAATTGCAGGGGCTCTTGTTCGTCAGTCTTTAAATAAAATTGCTGGAAAATAAAATTATATCAGGTGTACAACTTTGCTTCCGCCGTTTTTTTTCCAAAATTTAAAGTTTTATTGCGAAAAAGTGCTTACAGATATATTATTCAAAGTATTGTCCTTTGCTAGCGACAACTTTCTCCCATCTTTCCGGCAATTTTCGGATCCCGGCTCGAAAAAAGGAGTCCTCTTTTGTCGCTATCCATGAAGCAATCCATTTTTACAATTCTTCGAAGGATTGAAAATGTTGATGTGCCAGGCCGTGTGCCATCAAACGGAATAGGTGGAAGTCAGAAGGGGCGACATCTGAGGAATACGGCGGGTAGGGCAAGACTTCCAATTTCAGCGTTTCCAGGTACTTTTTGACCACTTTTGCGACATGAGGCCAAGCATTGTCGTGTTTGAGGATGACTTTGTCATGTCGCTCTTGATATTGTGGCCGCTTTTCTTTTAGCGCGCGACTAAGGCGCATCAGTTGCGTTCGGTAGCGATCTCCTGTGGTGGTTTCACCCGGTTTTAAGAGCTCGTAGTAAATCACACCACTAAATTTCTCTTCCACCTCCATGTTTGTCTTCGACATCGAAATCACCATTTTTAAAACGTTGAAACCACTCCCGACACGTTCTCTCACTCAGAGCAGCATCACCGTAAGTTTCTGAGAGCATTTGATGCGCTTCAGCTGCATTTTTTTTCGAATTGTAACAGAAAAGTAAAAATTCCCGCAAATGGCGAGAATTAGGCACATAAACGGACATTTTCGAACGTAAATAATACGAAAACAAGAACAACTGTCACTGAAACGGCGATGACAATTCGTTAGGCGCTGTCCACACTCATTTTAAAGGCATTATCATCTATGTATTTCAACCAGCCTCAGCCGGAACAGCCACCTATCGGAAAACGGCGGAAGCAAAGTTGTACACCTGATATAGTTGAAGCTCTTTCGCTTCCGTTTCGTATGCGTTAAGTGATGCTGCAGACATGGCCGCGACTGGCAATGCCTCTTGACTGTCCCCGTGTATGATTACTTTCTGTATATTTCCATAGTTATTCATTAGAGCTTTACAGGCCTATTCTATGCCTAGTGCTTCTGCTTGAAAATGCTCAACGAACTTGGCAAAAGATATAAAATTCAATTAACCTTCAGATCTAATATTTCCGCTCTTGAGAACATTCCTGACTTTCTCTCTTGTTAAGAAAAATTGCAGGGCTCTTGTTAGTCAGTCTTTAAATAAAATTGCTGGAATATTAAATTATAATACATTATATTGGTGTAGTAAAAAGAAATCCATTATTTATCGCGTTTTATAAATCCGACCGGATTCCGCTAGATGACGTTAGTAAGATGACATTTCGTACTAAAAAAGCTTTTGTGATTGGTTGAATCAGTTTTGCTTGAGGGGGCGTCAAAGATGGACACTAGCAAAGAGAAAATACGCTATATTTTACAGTTTTTCTTCAAGGAGGGCGAAAGCGTAAGCAGAAGACCAATTGCCGAAAATATCGATAAAATCATGGGCATTGTCGAGTCCGACCATCATGCAAGCAGTGTTTCGATGGTCCAAGAGCTAAAGATTGCACAAAAACATATTGGAACCCAATTAAGTAAAGCTGGATACGAAAAAAAAAAAATTAAATCATTCAATTTTATACAAAAATAATGGATTTCTTTTCACTATGCCTAATATTATAGTAGGACAGTGTGTATATTTACTCGTATATATTAATATATGTACTATATGCCATTATATTTACTTAAGCCAATAAGCAAGTTTATCCTTAATCATGACAACACTAACGTTCTTCTATTACTACAGTCGCTATTTATGACCAAGAATATAATAGTTTTAATCCTGTGCGCCATTAGTACTTTGACATCTTTTATGTTCGTAAATATGTAAAACAAAACTTGAAAGAAAGAATGAAACGCAACTTTGTACAAAAACTTAATTCCCACAACAATCATAACTGGGCATTGAAAGTATTCTTAATCTTCAAGTATTTTGCCATGAGTGTGTCTTACATACATATATTTTTTTATTATGTTTATGTTTGCCTAGAAACGCTCTTATATGCTTCTACATGCTTTTACACATATGTATATATGTCTGTAGATATTTTATTATTATTAGAAAGACCATAGCTTTTACTATTTGGTTGTGTGCAAAGAAAGCTCAACGCAATAAAGCATTTGCACATACATAAATGTCGCCAAAAGCGTAATAATGTAATTTAAGAGGCAACAATTCATGAGCATACGCACAGCACTCAACGGTATAGCTTCCTGTAGCGCATGCTTGCCCACTTGTTACATATTTATAAGATGTACAGGTATGCATATACATACAGACGAGTATACGAGTATATATGGCGACCGTAACCAAGCGTTTCATGCTACTCAAAGGAGGCTAGTCGGCTAAGTAATGCTTTTAATTTGTCGCGGTCGTAAACTAGATACCCGCACACACATACACACACACACACACAGGTTTGTAGGTGCTCACATTCATGCCAAATAACCTGATACTCGTAACAAAAGTTACGAGATTAAATGTGAATGCGAATATGTGTGGAAAGAACTCCTGCTGATTTGCGCCTTACCTGCGCTGGTCATTAGCGGCGAGAGGCTCATTGAAAGGCTTTTAACTAACATGATGCGTAAATGTGAAAAGGATTAAAAGTCATACCATCATCTAGATAGTAGGCGAACGACGACGACGACGACGACGCCGTTGATGATGAGTACGTTGGCGACACACTGTGCAGCCCGCTAATGGCCACGATGATAGACACATTTGTATGGAAAATTGTTAGGAGAAGAAAACATTCAAATGAAAAGAATGTCATTGGAAGAAGTGAAAGGGTTGGAGGCCAGCAAGTTGGTATCACAACAGTGGAAATGTGGCAGAAATTAAAAGCTTTGGAAATGCACACACGATAGATTTGTGCAAGTCATCAATCC